TTCCATCTCTGACTGACAAGCTCTTCAACAATGACGAGTCAATGTTATAGTATAGGCTACAATCACCATATTTCACAGCAAAAGCTTCTTGATTATATTTTTTTGAAACATTATTAAGAACATGCCTTATTCATCAATCAACAAAGCCCCCTAAAAAATTCGATTTGCCGATTCCTACCTCATCCCAGATACCAGAAAATTTTATATGCCAAAGATGTAAACATAAAGAAGTAAATTTCTCCATTTCCAACAAGTTAAACTTTTAGACAAGTAGTTTAACACAGACATAAAGAATCATAAATACCCTGAGGTCAAGTCAATGACACCCATGTATAGAAGTTTCAAGTGCCAAATCTTTGATTAAAACATCGATGGCGCACATGAAGGAGCATGTTGAATGTATATTATACACAAATATAAAGAAATAAATATTCTCCGCATTGATAGCTTTTGTACCTTCCCACTACTTAAATCCATGTATTTTTTTGTAAGTTCATAAAATTTTTGTTTTAAATCAATTAATGAGATGAAATTTTAGTTTAAATTCAGAGCAAATCAAGAAAATGAAATAAAATTTCTTGAACTTCCCCAGTAAACATTGTGATGAAATCTGCCACTCAAGGGACATGCATGAGATTGTAAGTTGTCAATATTGAAACTTTTAATGAAACTTAAACTTTATAAATTTGTCAAGACCTTCATGTCAAACCATCAAGAAACTGAATTAACGCGGAACATACCTTGATCCATTGATTTCTGACTTGAATAATGAATCTTGATATGTAAATCTTCAATTTGGTTGTTTCAAACCTCCTCCTTGATTCCTGATTATGGGTTTATGAATCTTCCTCTTCAATATGCTTTCTTTTGTATTCTTGTGTTGATGGGATGATGCAAAGAATGAGAAACTTGCATATGAATTGGAGACCATAACCCTTCAAATATCCTTCTTGATTCCTGATTGTGGATTTATGGAGATTCCTCTTCAATATGCTTTCTCTTATATTCTTGTGTTGATGGAATGACACAAAGAATGAAAAATTCGCATATGAATTGGGGACCATAACCCTTTATATAGTTCCATATGTATTCGGCATATCGTCAAATACAAACTCTAATGAATTCAGTCTCTACACATATAGTCCGTCCCACACTTTATTTAAATTTCCAAATCCCAATTACTTAATTCCTTATTAGATCACTTTAATTTTGGACTTAACTTTAAGATAATATTTACACACAGTAAATTACAT